CCCCAAAACCCCAAAACCCCAAAACCCCATGATATATTTTTAGAAGTAAATTCAATGAGAAAAAAAAAATTCTAAATTGGATTAATGAGTTGTAATATTAAAGCAATTAAAATTAATCTTGAAAGCTTATTGATAAATACTTCGAATTATAATGGATAACAGTCTCAGTCCTGATCATCAAATAAAATACAGAAAATATGCCACAAATCACAGTAGCCAGCAATGAGACGAAAGACATCATAAGATTTAGTTAAAGCACAAGCATGGCTATCACAAAAAGAACAGTCAGGTGATGCCACACTACATGGAAAATAATTTAGTCAATGGCTTCGACACTAAAAAGACAATTACTTAGAAGCGAGTTGCTTTGCTTTCAAATGATCCCTTCGATATCAATTGTGACACCTTAATCTAAGTGAAAGACATTGATGAGCAATCAGGAAGGGAGGGAAGTCGAGTATTCTTTAGAGAAAAGACACTATCGAATAACATTTTAATTCCTAATGTGGTAATTAACAATGCTTAAGAAATTCAATCTACATCACCTAGAGGTATTATAAGTGCGACAATTAATATAGATAGAAATTTCATCGTTTAAAATAAATTCCAGGGCTTCTCTAACACTTAAAAACTGATTTCAAATGAATCAAGAGAAAATGACTAAATCTACTATCTAGGACCTAAAAGTAAGTATTAAAAAATATAGGATTTTTATAGGCATATCTGCAATGAAGGAAAAAAAAATCTCCAACAAAAGTGTTATTAGTGATCATAAAAGCAGTAACTTTCATAATCTTGGTGTACTCACAAATAACCAAGAAAACAAAATCGAACACTCGTATACAATAAAAGATTAGAAATCGAAGTACAGGATAAGTATTATGTCATATAAAAATTCGAACCTAGCCTAGAATAATAAAAACTTTCTGACAACTGAACATAACTTGAAAAGCTAATTTAAGAGATATTCAGTGCAGACATAGAAGAGAGGAAGAAAAAATTCAATGTACAGCCAGCAAAGAAAATCTAAAAGAATAAAGCAAGTAATACAAACTAAGCTAGCTCAGAACAAGAATAATCATTATGTGCCATTTATGAGTAAAGATGATTACAAATCTTAACTTGATGAGACTACTAAATAAAAGCTGCTTGTGATAGAATTATTCCAGATGGGCTTTTTCGATGAAGCAGTAGAAAGAGCAATTCATTATACCGGAGCAAAGACGATAGAAGATTGTTTACCTTTTCTAATACTCAATGAAAAGAATGTTATGGATCATCAGTTTGTTTCAGTTAATAATGCTGCATATGGAAGTTAATACGAAGAATATAAGAACATTCATCCTCAGAGCTAGCATTGTTTTTTATGCTTGAAAAATAGAAAGAAACAAACTAAGAAAACTTTAAAGTAGATAAATGAACGACTACTAACAAGGCAAACATCTAGAAAAAGTAGAAGAGATTCATAGAATGATGCAGTCCCTTCTGATGAAGAGTTAGAGCAGCAGATATGTGTATTTCCTAATAGAGTCTTAGTGAGCAATAAGAAATACATGCAAATTTAAGAAGAAAGAGGTGTTATTCTAAATACATATGAAGGCGGCATTGTTCTAACAAACCAAGGTAATTAACGAATAGTCAATAATTATAGATCGAAACAAAAGTGCATTATCGATGGTGACAAATTAAAACTAACAAAGGACAGAAATGGTGCCACCAATGAGACTTAATTTAGAGGATAGCAAATCTTTTTAAAACGAGGATAATGTGTAGGATATAGAAGCTACGAGAAGAAATTTTCTAGATCAAACCAATCAGGACCTAACAGCTTTTGATATAAATAGACTCAATAAAAACATCATAAGCAATAATATCAATGTTCTGACAAATAGCAATAATCAAGTAACATACTTGAATGGTGGAGGGTAAGAATCTCCAAAATTTAAGTAGATTTATTAATACTTTGAGCCCAAGAAAAATTTATCTCCTGAAGTTGATAATTACATGAAGGAAAAATAAGGCATTGATATAAAACTCGAGACTGAAGGAAACCTGAATGTGATATTGCACAAAGTTAACCCTCATCATCGTAAATCGAATAAAAATATCAAGGATGAGACAATAAACAAGGTACTATTCACGAATTACTAAGACTAGAAGAGCGAGTTTTCAAGAACAAAGACTGATGTCAATAAGAAGTTTAATGAAGGGATATTAAAGGTAAACACTTTTAGATCGATTAATCCAAGTGTCTTAAATTCTAACTCGTTAGGAATTAATGGAGGCATGTCTTCTAGTAAAAAGGACTCATCTAAAGACAATGATGTTATGTACTCATTCAGATCCATGACATCTAGACATGCTACTGAGGATGAGAGATGCTTAGTTTGCCAGTTGCCTTTAGATTATCACAACCCAGATTTCAATTAGGATTTACTTTCAGTTCAACTAAGATTTAATGAGCAAACAATTTTTAAGGAGACTGAAAATAGAGTAAGCATTAAAATCTAGTTAATCTTCTGTTTAGATTATGAGTAATCAATCTTTTCAAAGTAGTCTGCCAAATTAAAATGAAAATGAAAATGACAATGAGAACGAAAACTCTATTGAAGGTTAAGAAGACTTTGCTACATTGGTTGATAGAGGGATAAGAAACAGAACTTAACTAGCAATACCAAACTAAATAAATCTTAAAACTTAATCAAACTATCTCTCACCAATGTCAATAGCAGATTAATTAGAAAATACAAATGATCTGGACAAGTAAAAAATGAGAGCTTTGAAATTTAGGCAAGAAATTGTTGAAAGAAGAATTAGAAGCTAAGAACAATTTATTGACTCTAATCGTTCTCTTGTTAGTAATCCCAAATGCTCAATTTGCATGGACCCTAAGTTCTTTCCTCAATAATCAGGTGAGAATGAGTCTGTTGTCCTGGATTAATTGTAAAGCCTTGAAGGCCGCAACATGATATAACTTGACTAATGCAACCACATCTATTGCGTTTAATGTTTTAAAGACTATCTTAAATATCAAATAAATAATGGACTTGTTCTTGACATAAAATGCTGTGAATGTAAGATCAAGATACCTGATAGTCTTATCAGTTAACTCTTTAAAGATGACGAAAAAATATATTCAAAACTAAAGCGATTTAGAAAAAATATAGAGTTAGCACTTACTCCTAAGACTTGCTATTGTCCAAACCCTAGATGCTCAATGCCACTATAACTTAAGTCTCCTGACTTTTGTGTATCTTGTCCCTACTGCTATCTTGAGTTTTGTTTACTTACAAAGTAGCAGTGGCATAAAGACTTATCTTGTAAGGATCACCTTGAGTAGCTCTATAAGAAAGCAGCTCGAGGAAAGTCAATTTAAATGTGCCCTTATTGCAATAAAATTGTAGAAAAAGCTAAATCCTGTAATCATCTGACATGTACATTCTGCATGATCAGCTTCTGTTTATTTTGTAGAGACAAGTATCAGTAAAATCACATTACCCCATATCATGCTTTTATATGTGCAGCAAGCTAGAATCCAAAGAGTAACTTATACTAATTTATATATAATTTTGTATAGAGAGTCCATCTATCGATACATCAGTTGCTAAATTCAAGCTGATTTCCATTATCTTAAGTGCCATACTATTTGTATTTTTAGCCCCGATTTTAGCTTTGATATTCTCTCCTCTTGTTACGACCAAAAATGCTATTGGTAAGAAATGATATCCATTTATTTTGAAGAATTTTCAGAAAGACCGAGCTATAAAAGTGTTGATTTGAGATTCAAACTTAAAAATAGAAGGAGAATAAAATTATTGATCTATGGATTCCTAATATCAATAATAGCAACAATTTGCTTACCAATAACCTTATCGTAATAATAAACCTTACTTAAAACATTATACTTTTAGATTACTTGGGGTTATAGGAATTACAAGTCTCTATTAGCTTCGAAAAAGAAAAAGAATCGCATTTTTATGAAAGATATAACTTTGAAATCATTGAAGGCATTCATTACATATTTAAAAAATTAAAATATTAATCTTAATTTCATAAATTTTATAATACTATTAAAAATTTAATGGAAAACAATAAAAACTTCTAGAACTAATAATCACCTTACCAGAATCTTTCTCAGCAACCATAATATAATCCTTATCTTAATCAGTAACATTACTAAGGGGTATAGGGAATGCCAATATAATCATAATAGTAGTAATACTAGCCCTAGTACTAAGGACAAATAAGTGGTTTGGATAGAACTTTCATGAACATTAATGGACAATAATAGCAAGCAGCTTATCAGCAATAATACTAATAAAATCCTTATAATTCATAATAGTATCAGTATTAACCTTTAACACAGTCTAGTCAGACCTATTAGCATTAATAAATGCCATACTAATATCCAGGTCTAAATAATAATACTCCAATCTAGAATATCACACAGCATTAACCATATTAATTTAATTAGCAAACCAATCCTTAAGATCAAAATATCAGCATCTAAACTCTTCCTCCTACTCCAGAGTAGCAGTTGTAGAATTAAAGAGATCTAAATAAAACTTATGATAACTACAGAATAAAAACTTTTAGGGAGTAAATTAACAAAAATTATAGAAGAATTCTGTCACCCGAAGATTAAAGAACATTTGAGTGGACTGATAAGGTTTACAAAATGGGTTTCACTGCAGTACTTGCTTCTATACCTATCAATTTTTATTGCAGCTCTAAAATTGCTAGCGTACCTGAACATGCTAAAAAATACCTAATGAGGTCTTTGTTTTATACATCGTTCAGCTCTATGGTTTTTGCACTTGGACTCTATAGATATTAGAAATTCACCAAAGAGCTTTCATATAGATATTTGACGGATTATTCGATACAATAGCTTGAAGATTTAGATAGAGAGGTGATGGTTCCAAATATATTGGCTCCCAGCCCACTGATTGGTAATTATTCTCAAATGATGCCGAATTTCAATAGAAATGATTAGAGTAATTTGAAAACCAGAAAAGATGGGGCTAATGATGATTAATCGGATTGATTTAAATCTTTTATCTATCAATCCTGATTTTGAACTTTATTAGAATCTTTGGGGTTTTGGGGTTTTGGGG